AGTCGACGACACTGTGTATAGCCAGTCTCGTGGACATAGGCAGCTTGTCCATTGTGTACGGCCGATAAATGGGAATGCATCCCACAATGGTAGATCGTCCGTGATATTTCTACCTTGCACTGGATGACTTCTGCGTAGTCATATTCCGCCAACTGCAGGAGTTGTATATACACGTCGGTGGTATTGGGTTGTTGCACATCTATGCCACATTCTCCAACATCGAGTAAGGAAATGGTGGTGATATTTAAGTGTTGTCCGCCACAGTCAAATCCAATCAGGGAGATGGCTGGCCTGATGGTCAATATCAGGATCAGAATGCGCGACAACATGGTCTGTAACATTCATAAGAATGAGACGCAATCCAAGCAGCAAATTTTGTCGGAGCATTACATGGTTGTTACATACATAATTCAATTAAAGTTAATAATGGTACATAATGTTTGTTATATTATAATGTGGTTAATTGATATAAAACAATAGATATATATATATATTAGATAATGTATATGTCGTCACGTTTAGCGATGTTAGATTTTTCATAATGAAGTCAAGAAGCGACAATAAATAGACAATGCTATCCAAAATAAAGACAATGCAAAAAAAAATTTCAAACGTTATTAAATCTTGTATTTCGAACATCACTAATGCGTGGCTACAGTAACTGCGGTTAACATAGTATAATCATAAGAATATGTGTAGATATATGTTACATAAGTATATAAGTATGTTATATGAGGTTTGATCTATCTTGTGGAAGACGTACTCGGACGCGGGAAGAAGGTGTATATGAATTCTTTAGTATCTAGCATCGAGATACTTCGTTGATCTATATCGTAGGTTACGGAACCAACTTCGTCAAAGGTAATGTTTCTTGCTCTACATCTTCCCTCGAGTTCGACAAGATAGTTTGGGTAGTTGTTAGTACATTCATAGCAAGTTGCAATAAGTCGCCGTCTTACTAGCGGACTTCTGCAATCAACGCAACGTAAAAGTATTGTATCGCCATACACTAATTCATGCCAGCGTGACATGGTGAGCCTAAATGCGAGCTTCCAGTCACGATTTCTACAGTTTCACAGAGGTGTCCTCTGTGGGAGATGTACATAGCTGTATGGACACAATAAAGCTGATTTTTATCAAAAAGTGCATGAGTTGGTGCATGTGAGGTGGATTGGTTCGACATGGTTGACATTGCGTGGTCGTAATTTAACCCACACGATCGTTTTGCAATTTACGTCGTACAAAAGAAGTCGAACTCTATTCCATGCAATATCGAGACCGTGAAAACGTATTGCGCAACGAAAGTATTCTACTAAACATTTATCGCAATCTATCAAAGGTCGTGCTTTTATGAGTGGGGATAAACAATACATACAATGTTCCCACTCTACTGTTCCATCCAGAAATCCGTGATTGTTCATAGGCACGAAATTTGGAGGTTTTAAAAGTTCGAAGCAAGTCTCGCAAATAACTAGATCATGAGTTTTACAATGGTATCTTAAACCTTGAACGCACTTGATTCTATATAATTCTGGAATAATCCGGTGCATCGGATCTTTCTGTTGTCTTCGATTGGAACTCATTGAGAATATTTTACTCTGGATATTCTACAGGAGGTCTGCGAATCGTAGTGAATCTATAGCAGCTTATATCCTCAAAAATTCTATTTACGTTATCAAATACAAAAAATGAGATTGCTTCGGGATAGATGTTTCGGTCGTATTCAAAAGAAGTGATACATTGATCGTAATTAATGGAACAAGTTAAACATTCGGTCGCTGGCTTAATTGTAGTGAGTGATTTACCACAATATGAGCAGTGAACCTGAGGCAGGTATCCTTCCACAAGCTTATGAGTGTCGGAGCGGAACAAAGAGGATGCGTTGTGAATCCTCGAACAAGGTTCGCAAATAGCGTTAGTATCAAAATATCTGATAACTGATTTTATACAGTATGCGCGCTCCTTGCCGTTAAGACTGTAAGGGTTAATTTTATCGTTCGGGCCCCCCCATGAGTCAATGAATGATTGCAAGGCGTGGGCCGTCAAGTCCGTCTATTATTTCGATATCATTGACGCCGTGCGAAATTACAATTAGTTTGAATTCGTCGAGTCGGCGTTCAGTTTCCCAAGAATTAGCTATAAATTGCTGGTGCTCCAGTATGCAAATTTCACCATAGAAAAATGCGGTTTGAATGAAAATTTCTTTAGAGCAAGAAGAGCATCGGCAACTTAATTGTTCAAAACCGTCGAGAACGAAGTGCACGCGTATAGGTTTGTAAGACTCGATAATTGTTTCTTCTTTTAAGTTATAATAACAGTTCTTGCAGAGCGGCACTCGCTTGCTTACATATCCTTCGATTTTGCAGCACCAACCGAATCTTCGGGTAGATTCGATAGGAATTCGTGGAAGTGGTTTGTTGTAAGCGGGATGGGGTTGAGGTTTAGAGTTACCCATCGATTAATTACATATTTTTGATCGTTCGTCCGCGTCAAGGAGTGACGAGGAGAGAAAAGGAGAAGAAAAAGGAAGGTGATCAGGTTTCGCGTCGGAAGTTCCCACGCTGGCTTGGTCTTGCAGCGCCAATGGGATTCAAGAGAGGAAGATGGCGGTGCACGTAGGCATGCCTTATAATGGCGGAGCAGATGCCACCATACCTGTGAACACATCAAAATTATATTAATTGTCATCCAGGGTCAATATGTGCGGTTTTTAACTTATCTGTATGAACGGTGCGATTACGATTGTTAATCGAAATCTTCACATTATGATTGTCGAGCACTTCAACGATCTGATAGGGCCTGATATATTGCGCGGAGAATTTTCCCTTCTGAGGTTCCTTGAGTAAAAATACATAGGTTCCGACTTCGAAATTTTGAGGGTTGACATGTTTGTCGTAATAATGTTTACTTCTCTCCTTAGCCTTAATAAGACTAGCTCGAGCACTATTTTGCATGTCGTGTAATTGATTAAACAAATTTGTCAGATAATCTTGATACGTTAGTTCCAAATTTTCTTCGATATATGTATGAGCAGAAGGCATTCGGGCTAATCGTCCGAAGACCAATTCAAAGGGTGAATATTTGGTTCCCTCATGGGTACTAGTATTATAAGAAAACATAGCCAATTCAATATAATCGTCCCAATTTTCCTCTTTATCGACTTGCGTTTTTAGATATTCCATTAAGACATGATGCGATCTTTCTAAGGAACCGTTGGATTGCGGATGATAAGCGGTTGTTTTAAAATGTTGGATATTAAATTTTTTAGTAAGATTCCTCATAAGAGCAGAAAGAAAGTTAGTCCCTTGATCCGTTAAGATCGTTTTAGGTGCGCTGTATACACAGATAAAATTTTTAGTAAAGGCGTCAGCTATAGACAAGGAGGTTGCTTCCCTCAAAGGTATAGCTACCGAATATTTAGTTAACAAATCTTGCATAGTGAGAATATATCGATTTCCGTTGTGGGTTAAGGGAAGAGGTCCCATAATGTCGAGAGAAACTTTATCAAAAGCATTACCTGGAGTGTCTGTGATTATCATTGGTTGTTTCGTTTTAACTCGCGTTAATTTCTTTAATTGACATTGCCTACACTGTTGAATAAATTTCTGTATATCTTTTTTCATGGAACTCCAATAATAATTTGTTCTTAAGCGATTATATGTCTTTGTTACTCCTTTGTGTCCTCCGCAAGCTGATGCGTGATTTTCGGTGATAAGAGCTTCGCGATCTTGCGGTTCTGGAGTCCGAGTAGCATTTTTGCAAATGGTTAATTGGACATTCAAATTTTGTAAATGCGCTTTAATTCGTTTAAAAACATAATGCCAAGGTAAATCGTCAAAAGGATCGGTTTGATTAAAACAGAGAGATGTGAGTTGTAATTCTTGCACTACATCGACTAAAGACTGCAAGCAAGAGTTAAGTGTTTGCGGTTCTAAACGCGTTCGATCGTTATATTTTATAGGTAGAGCGATTAGTACGTATTTCCCTTTAATATTTCTTACAGCGGCTCTTTCATAAGTCAAATTTTGATAATCAGGTAACAGGTTGTTTTCCTGATATTCTTTAGCACCACTATCATAAGGTCTCCCATTCATGTATATAAAAATTACGTGATTATCTAGAGTGTGTAATAAACCGTCGCGGGTTTCCTTTACGATTAATTGATCGTTACTCGGCTCCCTTGTAGCTTCTGTTTCATATGGCACTTGATTGGAATCGAATATTTCTTCGTATAAATGACTGGATTCATTTGCTTCGCTAGCTTCACTCACTTCGTCATTCTCGTCAAAGTGATTACTGTCATCGTCACTCAGTTCGTCATATTCTTCTATAGTTACGCTAGGCGTGACCGGTCTAGGCAAAGCAATTTGCATATCATTTGAGCGCGGTACCGATGTCTCTCTTTCATCGCTAATTTCATTTGGTACCCACGTCATAGCGTTCTTTCTTTTTTTATTGGGAAATGAAAACAAGGATTCGTCTGATGACTCGTCTGTTTCGTCAATAGTTCTTAATGGTAAGGTGGAAGTGGTTGGAGGGTTTCTCGATAATGCATCTGCATTGCAGTTTAACTTTCCCTTTTTATATTGTATATCGTATTCGTATTCTGACAATTTTGTGCGCCACTTCCATAAACGTGAGGAAGGGTCTTTGATAGAATGCAACCATACTAGGGGTTTATGGTCTGTTATTATAGTAAATTTTTTACCGTAAAGATAAGGTCGAAAATGGTTTACACAATAAATGATCGCTAGGCATTCCTTTTCGATCGTAGAATAATTTTGCTCGGCTTTATTTAGTATACGAGACGTGTAGGAAATTGGTAAATCTTTTCCAATAATTCCCTGACTGAGTATTCCCCCAACAGCGTATCCAGACGCGTCGGTGGTGAGGTTGAATGGTTTCTCAAAGTCCGGATATTGAAGTATCGGCGCGGAACATAGAGAGTCTTTCAACGTTTCAAATGCTTCGTCGTGTGCCGATCCCCAGCTAAATTTCGCGTCCTTCTTTAGAAGATCAGTTAACGGTTTTGCTATTTTTGAAAAATTTGGAATAAACCTTCGATAATATCCGGCAAGTCCCAAAAATTGTTTGATATTCTTAGCGTTTCGAGGTGTGGGAAATGCGGAAACGGATTGTATTTTATTAGGATCTGGTCTTACTCCATCGGAGCATATTATATGGCCTAAATAGGCGACTTCACGTCGTAAAAATTCGCATTTATCTGGTTGCAATCGCAGATTTGCTTCCCGTAGTCGTTGCATTAATCGATTAAATTTTAATTCGTGTTCTTTTAACGATTTAGCGTATATAACTATATCGTCCATATATACAAAAAGTTCGTTTCCTTGTAATCCGGAGAGTACGGTATCCATTAATCTCTGAAAAGTGGAAGGTGCATTTTTAAGACCAAACGGCATCCGTTTGAATTGATAATGTCCGTGGGGAGTCGAAAAAGCTGTTTTATGTGCGTCTTTAGGTGCCATAGGTATCTGATGAAAACCGGAGGCTAAATCAAGAACAGAGAAGTACTTTGCACATCCTAGCTGGTCGAGAATATCGGAGATATTGGGGAGCGGGTACGCATCG